GTGGTACTCAGAAGTCATAGTCATATATATCTACGACAGGCCAAACCCCAGTGAGTGTATGTTCTTCCAAACTATCTAAAACTACTTCTGACATCAAATCTAACCTTCAGGGAAGGAGAGCCTACCCCATAACATTTCTATTTCTAACACAATTTTAGGCTCAGCTTTATTTTTTAAGTCACTTTCTAATATCAGATTAAAAACCAAATGCACAGTTTTTAAAGATCCTATTTCTATATCATCTCATAACACTGAAAGAAATTTTGAAGAATCTGTTGTTTTAGATCCCATCCATTATTCTCCCCAGTAGTTAAATAACACATTAAATAGCAACAAAAAATCATTGCATGCAAAACTTCATAGACCCTAAGGCAGGCTGCATCCCTATTAGTATTCACTTTTAAATTCCTTTCTGTCCCTGCCTATATCTAAATTGCAATTTCAAGTTTCTACTAAAATTGTTTTTAAGGTTTTTTATTTTTTTTTATTTTAATCATGGTGAAATATGTGAGTGCAAGTGAAAGACAGAGAGAGACCCTCAGTAGGACTGGTCATGCCGCAGTTCTCTTTCTGCATCCATCAGTATCTTGGGTGTGCGTTTGTCCCAGCATATTTCAGGTGGACTAGGATGGGTATCCAAGCCTGAGGTCAGTCATGTGGCTTCCACCTCTGTAGTACAGTCTGCTAGCAACAGTGCCATAGAGGTTGGGCATTTAAAGTTGATTTTATTTTCCTTATTTATGCATTGCTACAGCTAATAACAGTTGAACAATCTTATCTTGGATATACATTTTTTTCTCATTTTCTGAGCCTCTATAACCTGTCATCATGCATTCTTAATTTCCAAACTTCTTAGAGGAACTTGCAGTGTTCATAACTGGCAATGAATACTGCTGTAGATGGCTTAGAATTAGCCAACTAGTAAGTACTGTTGCTAAGTACTTTTAAAATTCTTACTCATAGACTACCTATATCTGCCTTGTTATTTAACAATGCAAGAGAAGACTTAGTAAAGTAGATGGCTCATTGGGAAGACAAAAGTAAACTCATACAAGTGAAGCATCTAGTACTCTTACCTGTGCATGTACAAACACATCTGAATGAACTAAATGCACTTGCATATTTAAACTACAAATAACTCTTACAAATTGTTCTCTGAACTTAAAGTAATAATCCATATACATCCTAAATTTTCAAAGCTTGTTTTCAATGGCTGCAACCTGGCTATAAAGTCTAAGAATGTTTCATTTAGTCATTTTAAAAGCATAGATGATAAAAGAGCATTAATGTATATATTAGAAGAAACATCATATATATGTTTTTATCACATTTTGATAATAAATAATTGGTTGCAAGATCTTTGGAGTATATTATGCAAAAAACAGTCCATAAAAAATCTACTAAACAGATCCCTGTCTTCAGGGTGAGAAAATTATTGAAAATAAAGAGATGAGTAGGTCTAAACACAAGTAAATTATAGCATTCTCTTATACTTTAAATGGTTTCAGAAAAACTATAATGCTTTATCTAATACGTTAGAACAGATGGAACCAAACTAGGAGTTGTATTCTCTTCTTGACTTTCCAATCAAGTCTCAACCAAAGCAGAAATCCTCTGACAATGTCACAATGTACAGTTCCCTAACTTTAGCTATCACCTTTTTGGGATCAAGATATCTGTTCCAACCTATTACACCAAATTTTCCTTTCTTTTGACTATCAATCACTGTTGAAGATGTTGTGATGTCATGAAAGTCTACACCGTTTGCCACAGAGAGCTCTTTAAATGTATAAAATAACTAATATCATCTGGTACCAAGTCTTTCATGTTTAGACATCACTCAGTTCCATCGGCTGTTCCTCAAATGAAAATGGCTCCAGGATCGCTTAACATCTTAACTCTCCACACACTTCAGTTAACATTCTCTAGAGTGGAACTCAGTGCTGACAGTAAAAATCTATGTGGAGCATGACCAGTGAACAAATAGAAATTAAGAAGTTGATCTTGAATTCTACATGTATCAGCTTAGTCAAAAATTTCATTCACTTGATTTCAGTAGCCTGGGCATACATTGCTATTTTAGTTGTTTCTCTCATAAATTTTTTAGGTCATTTTCATCTGATGTTCTGCCAAAGGGCATTTTTTTATTTTAATTTTTAGTTTTCTATAGTTTTGTTTTTGCTATAGGGCATGTGCTTTCACCAGAGAGACAGAGAGATGAAAAGTGAGATATTACCTCTCTGGACTGGAAGATGGTCATGCCTTGTCCTCTTGGGATTTTGAGCATGCATGCACATGTGGCCCACATGAGTTTTAAGCCATTGGGTCTGGAACTCAAACTGCATTCAACTACATGGGAGTCCAGTGATGTAACCCTTATGCCATCTGCTGGTCCCAATTTTTAGGGTTTTTTAAAGATAGAGTCTTCCTACCATGATCCACCTGCCCCAGTAGGGACCACAGCAGATACCATCACCACTGGCTCTTTTTAGACAGAGTCTTGCTCTGTTGCCCACACAAGCCTTGGACTCCCAGTGCTCCTGCCTTGACCTTTCAGATTGCTGGGATTACAGGATCATACTATCATACACAGCCTATAGGCTGGATTGCAAGACAGTCCCCACATGTGAGCCTTCCATGTTGTACCAGCCAGCAGAACACAGTGTCTTAGCAGTGTTTGTCACCATCGCTGGGTCTAAAGCATTTCATCTATTGTACTATTTGCTCTCGTCTCTGTTTTGCCATGTGAGAACACAACATTCTTCTTTCCAGAGGATACAGCAACAAGGCACTATCTTAAAGCTTTGTTAGTGCCTTGGTCTTACACTTCTCAGCCTCCAGAACTTTGAGAGAATACATTTCCGATCTACATAAATTACCCACCCACCAATCTCGCCTCTACATGAGATAGCCAGTAAGGTGACTGCATCAGGAGATGGGCAGATGATCCAATCAAAATCCTTGTCTTTTTAAAATTTAAACCACACAAAGAAATTGCATTCTTCGCTAGGGATGAAACTATGAGATGTGAGATACAAGAACTCTCAGCAGTGGTGCCACTTGTGTCAACAAAGCTAGGCTGAGAACATAAAAGCAACATGTGATGAAAAGCAAAAGCCATTCTGGGTGTTTTTAAGATGATGGTTCAATTGTTCCTGAAGGCTAACTGTACCCTTAGGATCTCCATGGATACATGATAAATTCATTAAAACAAAAACAAAACCAAAAACACGTTTCAGCAAAACTTAGCTAAAGTTTTTACTTACTCTTTCTTCTCAACTTTATGTCCTATAATGGCCTGCTTATTGCTGTAATAAATTATTATAATCTTGGTGGCTTAAATAATAAAAATTAATTCTATGACAATCCTGTAAATTGCTAATCTGACACAGATCTCAATAGCTAAAATCAAGGTGTTGTCACCTGCACTTTTTTTCTGGAGGTTATACGAGGAAGTCTGTTTCTTGTCTTCTCCAGCTTCTAGAGGATAGCTGCATTTCTTGGTTCTTGGCTCCCTTCCTCCATCTTCAAAAACAGGGACATTGTGTTTCTGGCCATCCTTCAGTGGCCACATTTTCCTTAGCCCTGAGCTCAACTGGAAAATATTCTTTGAAGGACTCTTGTGATTAAATTGGACCTACCGAATAATCCAGGGTAATATCATCATAAGGTTTTCCATTTTAAGCACATACACAAAGTCTTTTTTGCCATGTAATGTGACATAATCACTGAGAATATGTTTCTGAGAATTTGTACATAGACATCTTTGGTGGGGCAGGGGAAGCATTATTCTGCCTACCCTTAAAAATGAGGAAAGCATTGAATGTCTCATATCATTCAACTCAGTAACAAAAATATCTTAAATAGGAGAAGCCAAAGACAACCTGTACATTAATAGCAACCTGTTAACATTATTTGAGAAATATTGAATTATTCTAAATGACTTCCTCAAGATGGTTTTCCTGTAAAGGAGATTTCTACTGATTTTATGTAGTCCTGAGGATGCATTTGGAGATCCTTACTGGATTTCTCCAGCATACAATCAGAATGCAATGTTTGAGATGTAGAATTAAAAGTATTTCCATATCCATATACTTAAAGCCTAAGGCTGCTATCATTCCCGAGAACAGAGTAAACACAACATCTCTCTTTGTTTTACTAATTGCTTTGTTTCCCTAAGCTGCCAGCACAACATCTGCCAGGCCAGAATGCACTCTTTGCACACATCACAGAACCACTGCTGGATAAACAACCTACATGTGGTGGTGGAAGGGCAGGCGCTTTCCAGGCAGCCAGCAGGCAGTTTGCATGAGGCAAAGACCTCAAGTAGACACCATGCTGAACCACTCGCCTCCAGATCTTCAGAGGGCTTATGGAGTTGTTGATTCTATAATGATCTCATACTGCCTGCAATTTTATTGATTTTGTTTTTCAATAGGACTGTTAAAGATTACAGTTCTAAGATAGGCAGAATGTGGGCAGATGCTCACATTCTCACACACAGTTCTGCCAAGATATTTTTACATCTTTCTGCACATAAAACAAAATGAAGACATGTGTTATAGATGCATGTTACCAGTAAGCCCTCTGAAGAAGGGAGTTTATCGTATGCTCATTTCCTGGATGAATAATTAAAATAATTCTACCTAGAACAAATGAACTGCACTTCCAAAATAAAAGTGATGTGCTTCTGAGGTACCTTATAATACATTCTTAATTATCAAACCGCAATTTGGGTCATCATATCCAAATGTCATCTCTGCTATTTCTAGCTCAATAAAACTTCATGCCACATCTACTGGTTAAGCATCAAAATACAAAATGCTGCAACAGCTTATGCTCTGTTGATGTTCATTCATCTACCATGTATCAAAAAGACTCATTTCAAATATGGCACGAAAGAAAGAAAAGTAAGCAAAAAACAAACTCAGAAAAGACTTGAAATAAATTTCCTTAAGAAAAACATTCTGGAGGGAAAAATGACAAAACCACAGTCTTACCTTGGGAGACTTAGGCAGATCCACTGTTCTCTCTTCTGGTAAGGTTAGCAAGGTTAACTTTGTTTCCTCCACTATGGGATGTTTGGGAGGGCGAGGTGGGGGGTGCAGGAGAGAGCTCTCGTATCTCCGCATCATGTAATATTGCTCTTCAGTGATCTCTTCAACCAGAGTCCTGACTAACAATGATCCTGTTTCCCCAGACAAATTACTCACTAACTGAACCGTCATACTCAAGCGGCTAACAGGAATTTCCCAGCACTCCTTGGGATTGGCAAAATCACTTATGAGTAGATAAGAGTCGGTGATATCTTCTTCCAACTGCAGTCCTGGTATGGCAGCCAAAATGTCCTCTTCTATGGAAAGATCTCTTACAGATACTTTCACATTGAAGGGCAAGCGGAACTGTTGACAGAGTTCTGAAATCTGGTACTGTTTCTTATCATGAATCACCTCAACAAAGCCTCCTTCCATGTACAAAGGGAGCAGCGTGGCCTTGTAGGACTTTTTGAGGATCTTTTCACAAGCCAGAACATTCAACACTTTTTTTATTCCCTCACAGAGGACTTCTGTGGTCTCAGGGTGATGCACTAGAAACTGATCCCCGACGGATACAGATGACAGCTCCTCATGAGGGGAACAAAAGGCTTTGGTGGCCACCACGTGGAGAGGTTCCTTTTCACTGGTAGCTATCTCTAGGTCATAGGCAGTTGGGAACTCCCGCGGCCGCCTCTTGAATTTGCCTTTATAGCTAGTGGGGATTAAGAAGTGTCTTTTCGGAAAATTACTTCTAATTTCTGAAGCTAAGATCCTCGATGCCTGGTACTTTTTGTGGATCACAATGGTTTTCCCAGGTTGTAAAATGCTTCTGGGCAGCTGATTACCTTGAGGTGCTTCTATGATTTCAGCCACTATGGGGAATTCTTTATTGGTCATTTCAAAGAGATCTTCTGTAGACAACAGCTGAAGAAACCAGTTAGCATCATAAGAGTCAGTAATGTCTTTAACTTCGACATCTAAACTGGGGAGGATGCGAACTATATCCTTTCGGACTGGGGGGAAAATAAAGAAAAGGACAATTACATTTTATGCAGCAAGATGTATCAAGAAGTTTGCTGTCAGACTTTCTCTTGGTAACATGGCTAATTTTATTTAAAAAAAAAAAAGAAAAGAAAAAGAGAAGAACTGAGATGATGACGAATATAAAATTTCTTACAAGTAAATTTCTTTCTTTTTTTTTTTTTTCAAATTCTAAGATAAAAAAGTGTATATAGGGACCAGCAGATGGCATAATGGCTATCTCACTGGACTCCAATGTAGTTGACTGTGGTTCAAGTCCTGGACCCAGTGGTGTAAACTCTCGCTGTGCGCATGTGTGTGTGTGTGCCCAAGATCCTGAGAGGAGAATAGAGAAGGGATTGCAGCGTGGCCATCCACCCTGGGGGAGTGATTTCTCACTGTGTATCTCTCTGTCTTTCTTTGTCTTTCTGGCGAGCGCATGTACTCTATGGCAAAAACTTCTCCAAAAAAGAAAAGAAAAAGGAAAACAAAAGTGTATATAAAACCAGCACCCAAAAGCCTATGCTCAGGTTATGAAATAGATGTTCACCAATTGCTTTGAGCACTATGAATCTCACCAAAATAACACCTTCCTCACTCTTACCTAAGAATGACCACTCTTTCAACACTTGCATTAATTGTTCCTATGTTTATATGCATAATTTATAAAACATATGAATATAGATATGTGTGTAAATATATGTAAACATTTTTAGGTGGTGGTTTATAATATTATTATATCATTTTAAGTCATATTCCAGACCACCGAATTGTGAGAAAAGTCATAATGTATTTTTTTCTATGTTTTTTATGCAAATATACATCATGACTTTACTGACAACCCAATACATGTAAAATTAACATAGAAGAAACTTCGGGTTCTTCAAACAAGGCCTTTCATGTACAAGACTCAACATGTACAGACTTGATGTGACATTCTCTCATATGGGATACAATAGCATTGCAAAAAAGTGAGCTATAACATAATGAGTTTAAGACTGATATATGGAAATGGATACCAAGATACACTGTTTTTCCAATGTCAAAGTGAATTTTATTCCTCCACTGGTGCTATATCATACCTGGAAAGAAAAAGAGAGGCACAGGGCAGATCACAGTCAGAGGAGGCATTCAGGGACCCTAGGACATGGTAGGTGCTTGCTAATGCATGTTTTGCCTAACGTGTCACTGGGGACTAATGAGTATCCACACTGTATTCCAGTGTCCACTGTCCCAGGTATTTTCTTTCTCTTTTCTTTCTTTCTTTCTTCTTCTTTTTTTTTGTTTGTTTTGTTTTTGTTTTTGAGAGAGAGAATTTTGCTATGAGGTACATGACTTGCCAGAGAGACAAGAGAGACAGAGAGACAGAAAGTGAGACATCTCCCCCAGGGGGGGATGGACACACCACAATCCCTTTTCCTCCATTCTACTCTTGGGATTTTGGACATCCACACAAAAACGCCCAATATGAGTTTATGCTGACGGGTCCAGAACTTGAACCGTGGTCGACTTTGTGGGATTCCAGTGATATAACCATTACGCCATCTGCTGGTCCCCCAGGTGTCTTTCTTAAGGCTACAGAGACACTTAAAATACTGTCCAGAAATGATTTATTTGTTCTCCACATAGTACTCAAAATAGTATGAGTCTTAAAGGTCTACAATTTAAAATAAAGTTATCTGTTTATATTAAAAGGATTTTATAATACGTTATATTTACATGTCAATTTCCTAACACAGGTTTTATATCATTTACATGATCCAGCATTTTTTCACAATATCTCTAGCCATAGTCTGTCAATATTCTTTCTTCCTTCCATTCTTTTGAAAATGAACAATTCGCAAATCTTAGAAGACAGAATTTCCTTTTACAAAACATTACCATGCTACTACTTTTCTTATTATTAACTGCTTATGCAGCATCTGAAAACCCTACTCTATAATTTGTGTCACATTACTTATTCTGTAGAAGAGTTTATGAAGACACAGCATGAGAAAGTATTTCATTTTCTTGAAAATAAAAAAAAAAATTAAAAATGGTTATAAAGGTCTGCAAAAATTATAGTGATCTTTAGATTATTTTTAGAATTATTTATTTTATTTTATTTTATTTATTATTTTTAAAATTTGACCAGAAAATGACAGAGAGAGAGGAAAAATGAGAAAGCAAGCAGCCAGGTCTGGGACTCAAACCAGGGCCAGCCATGTGGAAGTCCAGCGCCATAACCACCACACCATCTGTAGACTCCATGCTTTTTTGTTTTTTGTTTGTTTGTTTGTTTGTTTGTTTTGTTTTGGAAAAAAACTGATTAAGGTAAGGTGTGTTCTTTCAGTCCTTTTATTATTATTATTATTATTTTCGAAAGTTTGGCATACTCTAGCTTTTGAGATGATTGGACCAAGCTTCATTGAATTCCAAGACAATTTTAGAAACTAAAATCACTTTATATGGATCAAAATAACTGGCTTTTAGAATTCTAGAGCTAGCTCTGGATGGGTATTTTGGCTCCCTACTTTCCTTAAGTCTAAGGAATAGTTACAGCTTGGTTAAACAGATGCCAACAAAAACTTTCAGAGAGCTCTGAATTAATTTATCAGAACATTGGGGCCCTAATGCAATCTAAATCACAACTTAAATCTACCTGAATCTGCCCAGTGGGGGCTATGGGACAGGAATAGCCTTACTCTCTTTGGAAGACTTTATTGCTGTCAGTTACCACCTCCAGGCCAAGATAACTAACCTCTGTTATATTTTTGGTATTCAATTACTGACCTAACTTCAGTAATTATTGGGGGGAGAGGTTTTTGCTATAGGGCACATGCACTTGCCAGAAAGACAGAGAGAGACAGAGAGACAGAAAGCAAGAAATCACCCCCCGGGGGGAGGGCCACACTGCAATCCCTTCTCCTCCATTCTCCTCTTGGGATCTTGGGCACGCACACACATGTGCCCGCTGAGTTTAATCTACCGGGTCTAGGACTCGAAACGCGGTCGACTACATGGGAATCCAGCGAGATAGCTATTACGTCAACTGCTGGTTCCATCTTCAGCACTTCTTTACCCAAATCCTCTGGAAGTATCTCATTTTACTCAAGATACCAACAGCATTTGACAAGGTATATTTGATTCACATCTCTTTGACATATTTTCCTCACTTATTTCTCCTTATCTTATTTGAGTCTTCTCAATTTCTTTGCTAGCTCCTTTCTCTGCACCCACCCACCCCTCAGACACATTTCTTTTAGTGTGTGTTGGTTCCCTTCCTTTCTCTGTCTACACTCACGCCTACAGTGATCTTACACAGTCTCATGTCTTTAAATATCATCATATGCTAATGACTACTCAAAGATTATGTCTAGCCAAATCAGTCTCCTGTATTCCATATGTCTATTTAAGGTCTCTTGAATATCTAATAGATGTCTCAAAATCAACCTGCCCTATCTGGAATCTGATCTTCCTCCCAACCTAGAATATCTGTTGCTCTCTCCACCTCAGTTATTGGGAATCCTTTCTCCATAGTCAGTCCCTAAATCTCAGAGAAAATTTTTCTCTCTTTCTTTTCTTTTTAATTCTTTTTATTTATTCATAATAGAGTAAGGGTGTATGAGGAAGAGAGATGAACCCATTCTACAGGGTCTGGTCTTTATGTGACCACCTTCTGCCAGTCCTCCAACCTATTGGATCTTGGACATTCAAGAGAGTTTCCAGCTGACTGCACTGGGAATTTAAACCACAGCTCTCATGTGGGATCTGGCTTTTAAGCAGCATGTTACTGCTGTGTCACAGAGCCAGTCCTTCAGTTTCTCTTTTTGATCACCCATCTTCCATCACATCAGGACTACCCTGGTCTAACCCACATCATCTTTTGCCTGGTTTACTGTGATAGTTTCCTAACTATTCTTCTAATGTCAATTTTCAACAGAGTGACCAGTGAGCTGTCCTGTAGCACAGCAGTTGCATCAGGAACCAGATCCCAGAGGATCTGCAGGGTTTGAGTCTTGGCTTCAAGGGCTTGAAAACCATGACAGCATGCATGCCCTAAATCTTGATGGAATGGCAAAATGGAGGAAAATAGAATTGTGGCACGACCATGATTCACTGGGGGATGACTTCTCTTTCTCTCATAAGCACACATGGCCTCTGCTGATTAAAGATAAGGAGAGTAGGCAGGAATGATTTTGAAATGCTAAATTATGTCTCTCTTCTGTTCATCAACCCACAAAGAGTTTTTTTCACCTAGAATAAAACCCAAAGTCTGCCTGATCTCAAACTCCACTTGGGTCTCATCTACTATGTTGTCTCTCTCTAACTCATTGCTACCTCCCTAGTTTCTTCATCAATCAGGCTTTGGAGGCTTATTTTACTTGCCTGGTACATTCATCAACTGTTGTCTTTATGGCCAAATCCTCTTCTTCAAGTCTGTGTAAATACAATCTTGTCAATGGGATGTAATCTATTTAGTGCTCTACTTAAAATGGCTAAAATACCTGTCCTCTGTTCTTTTCTGTTTTCCACGTCATCTTTTACCTTCAGTCATTCAGAAGGGAGTGCAAACCCAAAGTCTGCCTGGTCTCAAACTCCACTTGGGTCTCATCTACTATGTTGTCTCTCTCTAACTCATTGCTACCTCCCTAGTTTCTTCATCAATCAGGCTTTGGAGGCTTATTTTACTTGCCTGGTACATTCATCAACTGTTGTCTTTATGGCCAAATCCTCTTCTTCAAGTCTGTGTAAATACAATCTTGTCAATGGGATGTAATCTATTTAGTGCTCTACTTAAAATGGCTAAAATACCTGTCCTCTGTTCTTTTCTGTTTTCCACGTCATCTTTTACCTTCGAGAGAGAGAGAGAGAGAGAAAGCCACTAGGTCTGGGACTCAAACCACAGTCAGCCATGTGGAAGTCCAATGCCTAACCACCATGCCACCTACTACATTTCTTGAGTTTTACTTCCAGGAACCCTACTTGGTACTCAGAGTGAAGACTGAAGAAA